AGCAAATCGTTCTCTCCGTATATATATATATATATATGTACATGAGTTTATTTCTTACCCATGAGTTGTGAAGATTTTGAAAATCGTTTAATTGCGTGCTGCAGTGCAACTATAAAGTCACGACCAGTGCGATGCTTAGCATGTACTTTGAGAACTTGTTCTCGCAGACCTTTGCTAACGAAGAAGTTCCCGTATATATTGCAATAAGGATTAGTGTCAGTTAAGGATTTTAATACAAAATATTTTTTCTTTTGTGTTATTTCTATTGATGCAAAGCTACTTTTATTCTTAACTGTCATCGTTCCATTCGCTGCTGGTGAGAATGACGCGTTCATAATCAGCTATAAAATAATGTTCGTAAGAAATGAATATAAAACAACAAAATCAAATAAAGTAGTAAGATTTAAAGTAGAAATAAAATTGAAAATAACACTAACTTAATGAGAACAAAACTAAGATATAAATTAAAGAAAATGCAGAAATTAATTGTGTTTAATGTTTCATGAAAATATAAGCAATACATACCTCGACTAATAGTTCATTTGATTGTTTTGTACAAAGACCTCCTCCGATGATCAAGTTATCACTTTGAGTACGATCAAGTACTTTTTGTAAGATATTTTGGAAGTAAATTTTGTCTTTTAACGGAAATGGAAAAAGATTTGAGATACCACCGAGATCTAAAAGTGCTGTATCACCGCATAATCCTATAAATATACATACATATATTTTATTTTACGGAAAATATTAAGGTGCAATATGCAGATTATTGAGCCGAAATTCTTTAAAAGAGCTGAACTTCAGTGATTCGATTTCTTTATAGACACATATTCAGCTTATGATTGAAATTCAAAGTTATGTTCGATAATTTAGATGCATCTTTATAGACACACAATAAATCTCTCACCTGGTGTTGCGAGATTGAAAGGTTCCTGAGTCAAATCAGGACAATCCACCCATTCGACTGTAACTTCTTCAAAATCTGTACTCAACTCATTCTGCAAAACTATCATAAAAAAATTTATAATAAAAATTTTATTGATACAAATAACAAAAAAGCACAGAAAATCAACATTACTTGAAATTATGCTCTTCATATATAATTTACATTAACAATCTACAATTATATTATGTGTATACCTGTAGCTAGTTCAGTTTGTTCAGGTACATACAAATCTATTGGTATAATTAGCTCCACCATAATATATAATACTTGATATAAAATAGAAAATTTATGTATGTATATTGGTAATCAAAATTGAAGTGAATCAATTGTAATCGTGTGTTTAATTCTATCAGTATTGTTCAAAAAAATAGTCACATACTGCATACATAATTTATTGCATATATATTTAATTATATATTGCATATATAATTTATTAAAGTATATTTCGTTTATATTCTAATACGACGAAAGAAATGAGTCACATGTTAAATACTTAATACATCACTTACTAATTTATATAGTGCAATTAACTTTCACTAAATAAATATATTGTGATATGAATGATATAATTACCTTAGGTTCTGATTATATTATATTAATATAGATAACGAAGGTTTTTTTTTTAAATCGCAAACATAAAGCACTTTGATAAACCGCAATCTTTTATCGAAACATGACAGAAAAAGGCAAAATAAAAATATAAGACCTTAACAGTCATCGGTCAACATTAATAATAATATTTCGGAACAATAATATTGTGAGATTCGGAATAATCTTGAGAGATCTTAAATTAATTTTGGATTTGTCGAATTGATGAAATTTATATTAGATTTGTTTTATGTGCATAAATAGAGAATTAGTTAAGAGTAGTATCTAAACAGAAGACATCGTGACTTTTATTCAATTGCAATCTGCTAAAAAGATCGATCTGCTAAGGAATCGACATGAATTTTGTCTTATTTTCTATGAACATTTATTTTATTTGTTGTTAAAATCAATTCATTACACATAGATTAGAATGTCATTTTACATCTGTTATATTGTGAAAATATAAATTAAAATTCTCAAAACTTATCAAAATTGAAAGAAGACAATTTCATTATATTTCTTTATTGTTTATCCGTAAATAATTTATTCATGAGTTACGAATCAATTTTACAAGGAAATAGGATTAACTGCATATTTATTTATCAAAATCATGTTTATTTTATGTTTATTTCTTAATCATAAAGAGGAATGTTAAAATATACATTTGTATAAATTCTAACAAAATATATTATCAACATATTTTCTTTTACCGTTCGCGGCAATTTCAATAGTATAAAAGTTATTTCATAAAATCCAACTTGTAACAATATACATATACATGTAACAATATATATAACATTAATCTTTCCCAAACTGTAATTTATTGGGCGGTTGATCGACACGATAAAGTGTAGCTGCCATATTGAAGTAACCTTCATACTCGATCGTATCTGGCGTTGTATCAATATGATAATGTCCACCTAATCTGTTCTCATCAAAAGCACTATGAAAATGCTGGACCCTGAGATCTAAATCCTAAAAGACAGAAGCAACGAGTATTTTAATTCACAATAAAACAGAAATGAATAATGGTTTAACATAAATTTATGGACTATTGCTTTCATAGTTTGAAGATAATTTTTTCTTATCATACGTATTGAATGTCTCTAAAGCTTACTGTTTCAGCGCTAACAAATGTGCCAACAGCTATCAGAGGAGTCTTCATATCGTAGAAACGTAACCAGTTATTAAGCTGAGTCTCGCTAGTCAATGGAGTATCCGAAAAGGCTGGCATAATATGCTGCTTTACTTTTCCATTCCTTACTTCGAACATGCCACCTAAACCTAAGTTTACAGATATTCGAATCAGTCGAGTAGTGAATTGTTTAATTTTATTATATTATATGACAGTAGATTTTCATCTTGAAAATCAGTATATTAGCATACAACGAAAGAATAGCTAGGAGTAATGTTGCTAAAAATTGTGCGTAATATATTATATGATTATTATTATATGATAGTTCGTGATAGATTTACCTACGAGCTTATCCTCATAATGTTTTGCTAATGCTTTCTGCATACACGATATGAAGTCTAGATTGCCCATACGTTTTTTAGCATGCACCTTTATAACTTTCCCTGGTTTGCCTTCGCACACATACAGATTAGCCAACAATGCAAAAGTTGTTTCATCTTCATTAGCAACTATCCGTTCAAGTTTGCATTCTCCATTAGATTTATTTACAAATGCATAATGCGTTCCATTCGCCACTCCCATGCCAAGTCTATATCCTGGCGAGACTTTGTCATTTACTATGTTCAATTTCATAATAAGCTGAAATAAATATTATATAAATATTTACTTTCTTTTTCTTTTAATTAATTAAAATTATTTAAAATTCTTTAAATTAGATTATTCATTCCATCAAGATAATTTAATTACTAATATACACCTCACAATTGCAACCTGTATGTGGCCAAGGTCCAGCTCCTGCGCCAATGACAAGAGTATCATAATTGTAATTTATCTGTCGCAGCAATGATTTAACATCATAGAATTTGTCTGTCTGGACAGTTGGTAAAAGATATGCTGGACCACCAACTTCTAAAAGAATTGGATTACCACACAAACCTAAGGGAGTAGGAATAGTAAAAAATATGAAATTTGGAGAAAGACCAAGTATATCTTATATCTGTTTGTTGTTTTTCTTACCTTCTTGATAAAAATTGTAAGGCCATCCATTAAAATTAGGACAATCAACCATCTCAACAGTAGCCTCTGCAAAATTTGCAGTCAATCCTCCTGCTAGGACTATGATTATAACAAAAATATTATATAATTATTGTCAGCTGTGATTTCTTATTGCGAATTCAGAATGCTTTATTATTACCATTCATTAACTCATCGAGAGGTGGTTGATGTAATGTTCTTGATGTGATATTTATTTTGGATGGATCCAGAGGTTCCACGTTTCGATTCATCTTAAAAATCAATATATTAGCACACAACGAAAGAACAGCTAGGAATGATGTTGCTGAAAATTGTGTGTAATATATATTCGCGTAATATATATTTCGGTTTATGATAGTGTTATCTAATCACCGGATATCTTGTTTTCTTTCGTAACTTGTTAGATTCCTCAGTCTTCTGAAAAAAGAAACAAATGCATGGTCAGGGCATATCAACACAATTTGCATTGTCGTATAAAAATATGCATAAAGAAAATTATCCAATCGCATTTCTCTTATAAAATCGCACGTAAAATGTGATGGATAATTTTCTCTATGCACATTTTTATCTCTATGAACATAGTCTTACATTATATGAACCAAATATCGATTTATTATATCTCCAGTCTTGAAAAATGGACGATGTACCCTAAAAAAAGTAGACGTTGCTATGTAATTTTCATTCACTTTGTCAGAGGGCAGTAGTGCGCGGCAGCATTTTGCGATTACAGGTCATGTCCCTTCTCAGGTTTCTCTCTTTGTGTACTAAAGGTAAATAAATGTTTTTAAAGTATATATTTTAAATAAAAAATATAAAAGAGTTATTTAGTATTTATTATTTTAAATAACTACACTTCTGATTTATTTCTTATTTAGTGTTTTAAATAAGTTTCCCGATTCTATTTTACATTTTTTATTTTAAATAAATCGTAACGGTTATTTTATCGAGTCATGATCGGCATATATACGTAAGTTTAAAGAATTTTTGTAACACAGAATAATTTACAGCAATAGTAGTGTCATAAATTAATTTTTTAACTAAAAAATTAAATAATGACTAATAAGATATTTAATACTTTTAACCAAAACTGTATTGAGAGTAAATTGTTTCAATGTTAAGAAAATTTGCATGTATCTTATATAAAGAATGTATAGAATATAATTATCAATCTTTATTTAAGTATGAATCATTTAAAAGAATAATAAAAATTGAGACATAATGTTGAAATATCCAAAATATTCCAATTCCGAACAATTACTAATTACGTTTACAAGAACCGTGCAAATAATATAGGATTGAACAAGTGCTAGAGATGCCACAAAGCAAAGCGTGAAATATACGATAATATTTGTCAAAATTAAATATGAATAATTGACTAAATCGTGAATATTTTTCGTTAGATATTTGAACAGTGAGGAGAGGGGACGCGCGGTGAAAAGCGAGAGGAAGGGGAAAGCGTGCTGCGCGGCGCGGTGGTTGATTACGTCAGCACTTCGGCATTCGCTCGACGACCTTCGAAGGGGATGGTAGTGATACGAGTTGCTCCGTGTGTCGCATTATTCTTCGAACGCGAATTACCTACGTAATTTTTAGAAATGAATATCAAAAGAATATCAATTCGCCATCATTGTAAAATAAATTCAAAGTTGTAGATAAAAGGGCTGCATCTCTTATTACGATCTCTGTAAGATACGATTAGAGTCAATGGAATGAGCTAGAGATTAATAGAAAAAGAGAAATATTTCTTTTATTACCGATAAATAATTTCAAAGTTACTCAATTTTTTTTTATTAAAAGATGTACGAAGACGAAAAATTAATTAAATTATTAATTAGGCAAACTATATTAATTGTAAATGTAGGAATCGCATAAATTGTGTTATTTGAATGAAAGTATCTATTAACGTTGTTTTTTACGACTCGTATAATGATCATTCGAAGAATAATCGAGAGTTATACTCAAGTAAGAGAAAAATTTTACGTTAAACAAAAATAATTGTCGTCTGTAATTATCGCGAAATAGTAATAAATTCTGTTTTCTGTCCATCGAGACATAAGATTGTCCAAAACTAAAGTGTATACTAAGAAATAAGTAAGAAGTTATTTAAAATAATTTTAAATAACTCTTGAAGAGTTTTTAACATCTCAATTTAACATTATATCTCAATTTTTATTGCTCTCTTTTGATGATTTACAATAAAGATTAATAATATGTCATACATTCTTTGAAGATAGATGCCAAAATTTATTTTAAATTAAGAAACAATTTCTACTAAATGAAATAATACATAAATAGCACATATATTTAGAGATATGTAATTTAAATACAATTTACTTTTCTCTGTATTAAGAAATAAGACGAAATAAAACGGAATAAGACGAAAATGGCAGAATTATACAATTCAAAGTAACAAAAAGCTATAATATGAAATATCTAATAATAAGAATCTCATTTTTATACATACATGAGAACACATGAAATATCTAAGGTATTCATG